AAAATAAAACATATTAAGGATAAATAGTATATAGTATATGTACTTGTATATCATAAACTTGAATAAATTTAGAACATTTAAAAAAATTAAATGATTATATTTATAGAAGGTAAAAATTCATGCAACTATGTAATATTAACAATCTATATAATAATGTTTTACGTGAAGACAAGTAATGTAATAAAAAATCGCTATTTTCTATGATTCCAGGCCATATCAATAGGTATCAAACCCAAAATAAATGAACAAACTATTTTAGACTAACTATAAGTTCTATTTTAGTCCAGTCATTATAGTAAGTTTACCTCGGAATTCGAGATACCCAGCTGTAAGTCTGCAAATACTTGTATTTTGACACTAACAAGTTGTCTCAAAACCTACATATGATAGCGTGTATCTACCATATGTAGGTTTTGAGACAACGTTTTAGTGTTAATACAATCGAACTCAAACATATAATAAACAATTATTTATATAATAACTAATACTATAGACAAAATCGAGTTTCATACCAGCGTTCAATATATTATAAATTCTTAAAAAAAATTGTAAAAACTAAAATATACATGTAAAACTAACCCCGATGAATGTTATATCTATCTGATGATGTTAAGAAAGGTGAATATGCGTTTGAATCGCCACTAGTTGAACTTTCACCAAGTTCCATTCGGCCATCTGGAAAGAATCCAGTTGTGAGAAATAAATATATCTCAATTTGTACAACGGAATTTAAAAATTTAAATGTACATATTTAGTAAGTGTAGCTTCGATTAGATTAAGTGGTAACCTGGTATAATATAATATACATATTGCATAAGGTGACCATACGTCCCAATTTGGCCGGGACAGTCCAGAAATTCCACCTTGTGCCCCGAGTTTTCTAAGAGCAATATTTTGCTCTTACATGATAATAAAATTTTTAACTTTAATCAAATATCTGAAAATGTTACGTACAAATGGTATGCTTATATGAAATAAAATGATATGAATGAGAAAATTGCCGTATACAAAATTCCCAAGACGGGTCAAAATAGCTTCTCACATTAATAATTTCGAATTTTTATTTTCAATTTAAAAAAAAAACATGAAAATGAATTTTTCAAAATGAATGAAATTATGAAAAAAATTAAACAAAATTTTATAAAAAAATTAAAAGCCAAAGTTCTTAGTCAGTAATTTTGATTTAAAAAACTTGATTTATTTAATCGCTATTTTATTCTAAGTTTTCTGTATATTTACAATTATTATGCAAAAACGTTAAATTACAAATTAAAATTAATTTTTATGAAAAAATAAAAAGTAGATCTCCATGAATTTAAAAAAAAATCAAGTCGAAAAATAAAAAAATCAAGATAATAATTAAAACTGGTACAATATAAATAAATAGCGATTTGAAACAAATCATAAGATAATTTAAATAAATCATAATATAATTATATCCAACATCGAAATGCGACAGGTACTCAAAAGCATGTTGCGCGGTTTAAATTGGTTTTTGATAACATCAATCAAATAAACCATAAAGGTATGTATAAATATAATTTCTAATGCTAATTTTAGATTTGTGCTATTTGTGTCCCTTTGGAGTTTTTATCGCGCAAACTAATTCTCGCATTTTGTAAGTGAGATGAAAAGAAATATAATGAAATGCACTGATGCTAAACTAAAAAAATGTAATGTGACATGCAAACGTCTTAATGTTAATTTGATGTGAGTAAATATGTACATATAATAAAATTTAGAGCTATATATTTCTAAATTACAAATCACAATCTATTATTAGAAACATGGTTAATAGCAATTCAAATTTGATATTAATTTTAATATACTAGCATGCTTCACGATTAAATGATAAATTTCAACAGAGATCATGTAGATCTTCAGTGAACTTTTTTAAACTTAAGAAGATTTTAAGCAACTAATGATAGTTACTGTTAACCCATGCTTATTCTAAAATTTACACCTATTCCAGGAAATATGCAAGCAAAAACTTCACAGTGTTCTAAAATATTGAACATAATATTAATCAATGGATATATATATGAATTCTACAATACATTGTAATTTTACATATTGAACAACAGCTACTACAAAAGAACAGTTATTTAAATAAAAATAATACAGCATGATCACTAGCCTTCTACAGCCATTTCCGCTTTTGAACGATCTCTTGTTATATAAACAGCAGTTAACAAGAAGAATAAACCGTCAAGAACTTCCACAAAACTGGTAGTGAAGAGAGCGTATTGCATTGAACGAAAATTTGGTCCATCCTAAAATGTAAATTCATTCAGTCATTAATGTAAAAATATGAAAGTACTCAGAGTACTATATAGACCATGTAAAGAGTATAAACATAAATGATGGAGTTCGAACATTTTTCTAAGGATAATGCAACAAAACGAATCATTAAAAATAGTCTTACAGTAAGTAAACATTGCTATAATAAATATTGTGTGTAATAATCTTGAAAAAGATTAGTTCACAAATAATGTTCAGCTGCTATACTAACTATATCCTTCATTTGATTAGACACAAACTTTGAAAAAGCAAAAATACTGAAGTAAAATTGAAGATTAGAATTTAAAATTAATTTCTTATCGATACTGATTGACATCAGGTTGAAAATTATGCAATTATTGATATATAAATTATAAATTAACAGTTTTGTCTTAAAGTTACTCTATTATGAATTAAATTATATTAACATGTATGTATAAAACATGAATGTAGGACTTTATCAAATACATTACATATTCATAAAAATCTTATAAAAGCAATATATAATGATTAATTAATAACCATTTACGATGATCTATTACTTACCAAACTATAATCAGATGAATTATAATTACTATATTTTTCTACCAATGAAATTTTATCAATGCTTGATTCACTTTGTGTATTTAATAATAACGCTGATGCAGTAATAGCTACACCCGATGGACTAAGCAAGGGTTTTAACGCCTCAGAAATCTGTAAATAATAAATATTTACAATAATAAATATAAAGTAAGCCTTTTATAATAAGAATAGCAAATGTACTAACAATCTCAAGTGTTTTTCGAGCAAATTTCATATGCAACGACAGGTATATCACACAAAATGACATCTTTAAAAATAATATTACATTAAGTACTACAGTATATGTGATGATAACTATCAACGTAATATAACTATAGCTTTATATAGCTATATATACATATATATTTTGTAGAGCTTTCAACAAAAAATCCAAAAATAAAACATTTACTTACTTAAGAAGAAACGTGCACAAGCGAATCGATTAGAGAACCACAATGGAAACCGCAGAGGAAAGAACAATATAAAATTAAATGAAATAAATGAAAGAATTATAAAGAAACGAAATGAAAAGGCATAACTGCAAACAAAATGAAATTAAAAACGCACAATCATAATAAAGCTCTTACTTGAACAGAAAATGGCGGACACGACACGATACAAAACGTGTCAAACGCCATATTGTTTGGGCCGCGAGATGCACTTTTTGGCCACCATGAGAAGGCACGGTGTTTTCACTGATAGTCCATGGCATGGTTTTTACTTAATTCAAACATGTCAAAAAATCTACAATTTTTAATCATTTCAATCTGGTTAAAAATTCAAAGTCTATAGTCCATGGGTATTCACTCAATTCAAACATGTTGAAAAATCAAAGTGTGTTGCCAATTCATGGTCTTTCACTTAATTCAAACATGTCAAAACATCTACATTTTTCACTTAATTCCATCTTATTGAAAAATCATAGTTTACAGTCTTAGTGACTACAATGCAATTATGTGGGAAGTATCAACGAATAAAAATATTAGAAGACATTTAAATCTAATTAAGACCAATGTGTGGAAAATTAAATCTTTTGATGGAAGTGCCAAGGAAATAGCCTTGAATTGCAAACCTATTATTTTAGAATACGCCAAGGAGCACTGATTGAGAGCGTAACCAAGGCTTGTGGTGTCAGAATGAATCGTAAGCATGGCATGAATCAAAGGCAACCTGCGCTCTGGAGCAATAAATAAATCAGCTTTCTTCATGAAGAATGTCATAGGAAAAAAAGAATCGCTCAGCGAGGCTATTGTCTTCCAAACTCTAGTAATGGAATACAAACAGGCATGTGAGCAACTAAATAAAGCTATCCAGTATAAATAGATGCTGAATAAAATTGCTGGACGAAGTCGAAGAAAACCCATGAGAAAGGCCTCAAAGGCTCTACACGACAACCTGATTTATACTACCAAGTAACACATGTTGACCTAAATAGTATTCCACCTATAACACTGCAAGAATTGATGGAAGCTTGCCATTGGGTTGGAAATCAAGCACCGGGATCAGATGAAATTCTCAAAATCTCTTTAAAAGCATCCATATTGACATCTCCGACAATATTCCTCGGTGCCTATAATGCTTGTTTAAAAGGAGGTTTTCCATGAAAATGGATACAGCAAAGATTAGTGCTTCTTTCCAAAGGAAGAAAACCACCAGATGAAACATCAGTTTACCATTCGATATACAAGCTAGATACAACGGGTAAAATTTTCAAAAGTTGATCTACTATTAGCAGACAATCAGTATGGTTTTCATAAAGGTTTTAGTTGATATTATACCGGTATTGAATCCGACATACCCAGAGAAAAAAAAACAGTCTGAGGTGTATAAATGCATTTCCTTTGACATACATAAGTAACAAAAAAAAACAAAAACATACATCAATTTTTCATAAGGTATGTCAACATGTTCAGGAACCTCTTACACATAAAAAAATGCAGAAATTTTTATTTTGGATTTTTGGGAAATTAAAAATTTTAGTCAAAATTTATTTATTATAATTAGCGATTAAATAGCTTTCTCAAAAAATCGTAAAGCACTATCGGATTTTATGTTAGGCAGTTTTGTGCAAACATTAATAATAATTTTTGCATTTGATTATGAAAATATAACTATTTGATATATGGGGACTCTTAAAAGCATTAATTACTTTCAGCCTAGAGCAATTGAGATATTTTATTTTTAACTGTAAATATTCCTGTTAGCTGCAGTAGTAATTACAATTTGAAAAAAAAAAACAATTAGAAACAAATTCACATAAACAATTATGCTAAATTTGTTTAATTATCAATATTGAACATATTTACACAATTCAAAATTATAATAGATTACTGTCTATATAGAATACAAAAATATTAAATAAAAATTACCGAATTCAAGTACAGTAAAGTTAATCATAGGACAAGTCGCATTATAAATTTTTGATACATATTTTTTCATATACTTTCCCAGATTTCCATAACTGTACTATGTCCATACCAATATGGATCTTGTCTAACAAGGGTAGTTCAACATTTACATATTCTTCTAAACACTCTAATTTAATGACCAAACTACCAGATTGATTCACTTCCTTACTTCCTATATATTCAAATTCAACAAATCGTTTTTGATTTAATTCTTGCAATGCTTCAGAAAACTGCATACCAAAATCTTCAGTATCTTCTCCCAAGTGAATCACAACATAATTTGACGAAAAAGGAATACTTCTATTGCAGTCTGAACAGGATACCTTTTCCTGATCTGAATAAAACATAAATCAGAGAAGTTATAAATATGAAACAAACAGTAAATAGTAACAGTAAAAGTAAAAGTAAAAAGTACATAACTAATACATTAGATATATATATATATATATATATATTTTATGATACGAGTGAAACGAATATTAAATGTTAAATATGAACAATACAACACTCAGATTTTTAACATACACTTTATTTGGTAATTACAGACGTTTCGAGACCATGGTATGCCTTCTTCAGTGTAATTTTATATTCCATGAAAAAGACTTATTTGAACGAAGCATGGCAGAATCAATGTTAATAGTTCGGACTAACAATAGCGTAAATCTGAGAACCGACACAAAAACTTTACATGACTCTTATATAAACATCATTAATAATTTATATTTTTTTTTTCATTTTATTTTATTATTCTCTTCAATAAATTAATCTGTTTTCACATTTTTTGATTTTATTATAATAATTTATTTTATTATAATAATACTCATCCTGTTTCTTCATCTCGATACTTAAGATTTGTTTAAAATATTTCATATGTTTTAGTACTGTGTCAAGCTTTGCAAGTGATAGTTCGTGTTATTTGTATTTTCAAAAATTAAATGTAATTTAAATAAAATATTAAAGAATGTGTAGTACATAAGTAACTGTTTTTGAAATTACACTGAAGATGAGGCATACCATGGTCTCGAAACATCTGTAATTACCAAATAAAATGTGTGTTAAAAATGTGAGTGTTGTATTGTTTATATTTAACATTTAATATATATATATATATATATATATATCAGAATTTTTTGTTCGACTTTGATATATATATATATATATATATATATATATATATTTTATTGATATTTTTTTTTTTTAATAAATTGATAAGAGTTTCTTTTCCAAACAATTAATCCAATAAATAAAAAACAATAAGTTTTTTTTGTAGATGTTTAATTACGACGTTTCGGAAGTAGGTACTAGGTTCATCAAGTTCATCTGTTCAGAACAATATTTAAATATAGAATAACAATATTAATGATGATGATTACAGAATATTTTTTTTTATAAAGGAAAGGATTATAAACTTTTTTTTTTAAAGAATGAAGCATGAAAAAAGAAAAATATGAGAAGCAAAAATTATTTATCTACAATATTGATTTATATATCCATATCACTATTTTTATATGCATGTAGCACTATGAAAAATTTACTGAACTCAAAATATTATTTGATGGTTTGCAGCCCAATCGTCAAATTAAAAGATAAAGCTGCAAAAATACTTCAAATATGTATCAACGTCGACAAAACTATCAATGTATATATATTAGGTTAGTTTATAGAAATAAGTTCTTACCACATGGATTTTTTAATTTAAATGTACTATGTATATGCTCTGGTAGCATTTCTTTAAACCCAAATGATATTACTCCACAATCTTCACACTCAGATTCCTCAAACTCTAAATCAACATTGGCAGTTTTCTGATAATCAATTAGTCTGCAATTTTGACTCTTATTACAGTTGGTATCTCAGATTAATAATTTATTAATTACATAATATTTTATTCAATTATTTAGAAATCAAAATAACTCATATTACTAATCAAAATGACAAATATTTATAAAAGACATGAATCAACAAATAGATCTACAGTAATTAACAGTATTAAGCTTAAGTAACGCGAAAGAAACAATTTCAGACACATTTAAACCATTGATTCAAAAAAAATGAGCATGAGCTCAACTATTATTTTATGTTATTCTTAGCATTTATAAAAAGATAGCAACTCCTTAGGGTATAATAACAAATTTGCATAAATGTAATCAAAATAATATTTAAGTTAAAGTAGTGAACAAAACCCAAAAATCCATATAGTGTAATAAATATTATTAAATTTGTTCAGTTATATTACGTGATGGAAATAAAAATTCTCTTCTATTTAATAGATATAAAAGTTAAGACATATCCTTGGAAGTTTTGAAATTTTCGAGCCCTAATTCTAAATATAACTAAGTAACTCAACAAGTGATACCTTTCATTGTGCCATGAGTGTAATTTGTGAACTTCATACCAAATTTCATCTTGCATTATAAAATTGCATGGATGACAATAATATCTATGTGATACATCTACTAATGATAAATTATTTTTATGAATAGAGCTCATTAAATGAGATTTTATAGAAGTAGCATCATTACAAACATCAATATCATGTTCACAAATAGTACATAAATATTTATTGCTATGCGTAATTCTGAAAATAATTAAACATATTGAAAATACATCAAACATATTTTATGGTAATAACAATATAGACACTTACCTGAAAAAAACTTTGTTGTATTTATTTTCTTTTTCTACTAGTTCCCATGAATTTAGAATGCCTTCTCTAAAAAAATTAGGTTCTTTATCTGAACAACACATGTTTTGAATACTTGTGATGATATTTGTGTTATCTACATTATCCGGAATATGTAATAAATCTCGATTACTTGAATGATCTTTTATGTGAATCTTTTCTTTATCAACTATATTATTATCTAGTAAATTGTTATCATTACTAGTACTAGAAGAAGTTGTCTGTTCCGCACAGAAAGGTTCAATTTTGTTTTCTCACTTACATCACCCTGTTCCATAATAGTTTCTTCGCCGCTTGGATAATTAATTTCAGAAGTTTTCAAATCAAGTTTTGTTTGAAAATTGCTAGCTGATTGTGTCGGGGTACTTTCATGCTCAATATTCGATTTTAAACCAGGGTCACAATCAAATATGTCAATTTTTGTACTACTGACCTTCGCACATGTTGGAATTTCCCAAAATTTGCATTTTGTTTCAAATAACCAAAGTGGATTTGATTTGATTTCTTGTGGTATTACTTTGAATGCTTTATTTATAATATTTTTTAAAAAATGACCACCAGTAGGAATTGCACTACATTTCTTTTGGCCTAATGCATTGACAGTAAGAAGGTTGCAAAAGTCAATATGAGCAGGTGATTCAAAATGTAAATGCATTTTATTTAATTGTGCTGGTATTACTTGATGGCAAGCCTTGCAATAAACAGTTTTATCAGTACAAGGAAATATAAAATCTCTATTAGAATAGATATTATAGTCAATGTCTTCTTTCAGGAACAAACTAATTAAATTGATAAAAGAATTTAACATATTCAGTTTGTCTTTCTTTGTTATTTCGTTTCTGTGTTTTACTCCTTTTAAATGAGTCCAAACTTGCTCTCTTTTTGGTATATGAACTCTACATAGAAGACAATTAAAGTAAATATTTGTATTATATATAGCCAGACTATTCATGGGATGCAGTGCATTCATTTCCATTTCCAGTGCGTTTATCTCAATTGATAAATCAGAATTAACAACTGAAATTGTTAAAGTTACATTTATATAAAAAAAGACTGCAATAATGAAATATAAATTAAATTTTAATACTAGAAATGATCTATTACACAGATCCAAAAAATAAAATAAGTTGTCTGTATTGTGTGTGCGACATATTTTCTGCTGTTGAACACGAATGCCGAGTCAAAACTGAAACAGATCTAAAATTTTCTCTACATGATAATTAAAAATTTATAATTTCGTATTCTGACCCATTTTTTCTTTAAAATGGCATGGACAACGGATTTCTACAATGCTTTTTTAAATCTCTGTTGTGAATCCTGTTGTAGCTTAATTTGCAAACATATTTAAAAAAAATATATAAATAAGTTTGCAGATTACCTAGGGCCAATGGGGAATAAATATGATTGGAAATTACTGCAGCAATTTGCAAACTTAACAGAGATGAAAAAGCGTTGCAGAAATTCATCGCATTGACAAGAAAACTATAAAAATTTTAGGATTTTAATTATTATGTAGAAAAATTTCTAGGCCGGAGTATTGTCGTTTTTTTTAGTTTAACCCCCCATTTCGATTTTAAATCAGCAGTAAAAATATGAAACATATGTCACACTTCCAATATTTTGTTAATTTCCCTAGAACTTCTGGAAAAGTGATAATAATCTCAATGCTAAACATATTTTTAAAAAATATCTAACAATTGTAAGGCAACATTCATATACTAAAATACTCATATAGTTTTGTTTATAAACCTATAGTTTTTTTTGAATATCCTACAAATTGTTTAATCAAAAATATAATTTAGATTCCATATGCTTATCTCAGATTTATTTTCTTTTCAAATTCGTTAATACTTTCGTTAAGTAAATTCATTGTTAATTTTAAAACCCTTCAAATATGAGAAAAATTATGTAAACAAAAACTTTGGCTATTTATTTTATAGTTCGATTTTATACTCTTGATTGTGTTTATGACAATAACAAATTTAAATTTATAGTTTTACTCATAGATAAAATAAGAGGCTTTTATTAAAATCTACTGAATATGTTTTATTTAATTTTTTCTATGCAGATATCTTCAATTTAAAAATAACGCATATTTGCAATAAACTTGAATATTTTTTTAGAAAATAGTTCAAAAATATTTAATTCTATTATATATAATATCTTATTTTTTTTAATTTAATGGTAATAGTGATGACAAAAAGCAAAATGGTTAGGAGCGTAGCAGTGCCACAGCTATACTATCGAGGCCAGTAGAAAACAAGAAAATAATGATATTAAAACAGTACTAAACATATTGAATATATTAATTAATTGAAAAAGTTCACGTTTTAAAAAACTGCTGTGGTAAAATCGCAAAAAGATGAAGAAGGGCAATTAAAAAATATTTACATTGTTAAGATAGCAGAAGGAAACTATTTGAAAATAGTTTAAAAAATTTTCTTAGAAAAATCCACATTTGGCAATATTATTTTGAAATAGATAAATAGATAATGATCGACTAATAATTGATTGATAATGTAATAACAAAGACATTAGAGAATATTTCTTTCTATCACATTTGTTTATGAAATATGCCACTCATTTTCATACTAATTGAATAGAAATTATCAATTTTAAATATGTTCCAAAAAAATAAGACTACAGAAATCGTTTATACTGAACTGTAGTATAATAAAACAAATTACTTTAAAACATACCATTTTCTTCTTTTGTTTTGCAAACTTGATTGCATGCTGGTACAATGTTGAAATGTTCATGCATGTTTATATCAGCCAAAGATCCAAACAATTTTATTTTGCATATTGGGCATTCTTTTTCAATAAAGTTTCTAAATATATAAATATGCACCTGTATTAAAACTAACAATCAACAAAATACAAATATTTCTATAACATTCAGATCTACTCACAAATTTTTATGAAATTGTGAATCTGCATGAGCCCTAAATGCTGGAGCTTCATAAAAAATCCGCTTACAAAACAGACAGCAAAAGATATCATTGATTTTCAAATTTAAAGAGGTGAATGTATTTGTATGTCGTTTTGATGAAGAATGATCCAATACATTGCAAAAATGTAAAAACTTATTGCACGTCAGGCAATAATAATGCTGATTATATATCCTAAAATATAAAAATTATAAAAACTGAACATTTCTCCTGTATGAAAAAAATTTAGACTATACCATCACAGCTATGGATATTAACAACATAACTTTGAAAGTAATGGAAGTAATTTGATCAAGTCAAGCTAAACTATTCTTAAGTAAGCGATCCACATCTCTTAAAAGCTTCTCAACATAAAATATGAAAAATAATTCACACTCAAAATTGGAAAGAATTACAAGGAATACAGAAAGTTCAAAGTGCATATTGAAATGATTGTAAGCTTTACAATTAGCAAGTGTTATTGAGTAATGGTTAAATTAATAATCCATCTAGCATTCTTAAACTAAAGAAATATAAAAGATTCTCAACATAAAATATGCAAAATAATTCACACTGATTAAATTGAAGGAATGACAAGGAAGACAGAAAGTTCAAAGTGCATACTACGATAAATTTAAGCTTTACAGTTAGCAAGTGTTAGAAGGAAAAGGTTAAATTAAGATTCCATCTTGCATTCTTAAATTATAGAAAATAATAATCCATGTGATTTCATTAGAACTAGAATTTTCAGAACATTATAAACAAAACTTTCTAGACAATCAAACAAATATCTATATTATATAACCATTTCCACATATAAATTATAAAGAATAACAAGACATGCTTACTGTAAAATAGTATCTCTGCTGGATTCATTATTAACCAAATTAATTTCCATTTTGGAATTAGTAGCAGTGTCATTGCAATCCTGTTGGGATTTTATCCCTTTTTCTATTTTCTCTTTTCTAATTTCTTGGATCAAGTGTTTTTTATGGAATAAAGATAATTTATTCAAAATTCTTCTTGGATAGTTTTTTTCCAGAAGCTTTTTTTCTAAATAGCCTAGTTTCAATATATCTTGGTTATCTGATGTATAATTGGAAAACTTACAAACATCTTTATCTTGCAATGTCAACTCATTAGTTTTCAACCTATTCCATTTTGCAATATCATTTAAAAGATCATTATACAATCTCGATGATCTATGACTGTCAAATAAAAAATGTCCATTCCATGTAAAGTATCAAAAGGCAACACCAGGCTGCATGCCGAACAATAGATTTCAGTCATAGAATGTGGCCAAGTAATGTATTTATTTCTATAATCACTTCTTTGATTTGTCCAGAATTTAGAAAAGACATTCAAAGATGCAATTTTAAAATGATCTGATATATTTGCCAGATGTCTTTGTGTTTTAATATGATCAAATAGACTTTGCTCATTTGGAGATTCTTGTCTGCAAATCAAACATGTATAACCAAAATTGAAGTTTTTTATTATTGCTGACCCATTGAAATAATGCAAATTAGTTAGATTAAAATATTCCTTCTCAGTAAAGCTTGGATATTCCTGCTTAATTTGTTGAAGAGCTAAAAAAAATATATATTGTGATAAAGAATAAATTATAAAAAATGTGCTTCATTACAATAAGTAAGGTTAGTGAGACCCGACAATATGAACATGAACAAATATGTTTGATGAACATAACATAACACAAGCTGTAATATAGCAAGGAACAAGTATGATAAATTTAAAACATCAACTTATTTCATCTTAGAACAATAGAATTTATTCAATTGATTAAATAAACTTAAAATACATGCATTTTGAGATATATGTTATTATACACTTACTAGACTTACTACATTCTAAACCATTCACTGAACTGGTATTGGATATACTTAAATTGGTAAAATCATTCAATTCAGCTGCAACATCTTTACACCAAATCTGCTCAAGTGATTTCAATTTCTCAGAAAACTGTTGTAAGTTATGCCGCAATTCATTATTGAAAATAGTTTTGTCAGCGTTATACTTATCATGAAATAATGTAATGGTGTTATCCAGATTCCGAATATCCTGAATAAGCTTTGTTGTTATATCCATGCTGCAAAGGAAAAAATATCAACTAATGTGCAAATAACATTTTAAATGTAACAGAAAAAATATACTTCGTAATTATGAGTTTCTAACACTTCTATTCGATACAAATATATACTATAATACTCTATTCGACAACATAAAAAAATTAGTTTATTAATTACATTATCTCTTTCTTATCTTCAACTGTTTTGGAATATCTTTTGTTAATGTTTATTATTATAATAACTTCACTGTTCTGACATGACAAATGAGCCACGTTCACTCCGATAAAAGTTTGCTTCTATTCATCTATGGTTTTGAGCTTTTATGCTTATTTATCTATGGTTTTGAGTTATAAATAAATAAACATTTCTTGGCTAGGTATTTTGATTTCTAATATGAAATATTTATATTCTACGGTTTTGAGAAGAGTAGGTATAAATGAGATTAAAAATTTGCATAAATAACCCAGTAAACACCGAGCGGCGGTAGTAATCTGAAATCCACATTGATTATTATATATGGGTGTCATAGCGCTGAAGGCACGCTTGTGGATTTCGGGTTGCTGCCGACGTCACATCACACGGTGTTTACTGGGAATAAATAGACGCAAACGTAGATAAATAAAAAAAACATGTACGCAAAATAAAATAAAATCACTTGATAAAAATTTTCATTCGTGCTCCTGTCCATCTAGAGCCAGCAATGTCGGCCTTATGACAAAAAACATTATCATGTATTGGCTATGTGCGAAGGCATGGAAGGGGAAGTCAAATCGACCGAAGCGTTCGTAGTGGCTAACTTGGAGCACTAAAAGGGGCTATTATAAACAAAATTTTAAACAAAAACACATAAAATATTTATTTATTTCAAATTTAAATAAGATAATTAAAAATGAGCCACCATAGCTGTTCTGTAGTGGGCTGTAGAAATACCAGCAGAAAAAGTGACTGCAAATTCTATACATTTTCTACAGCTAAGTGGAAAGAAAATCAACGGGAAAAGTGGATCGCAGCGGTTAAAGAATAAAGTAAGTATCATAACCTTATTGTTATAAAAATACAATTCGGAGTATTATGAATAGTTGTAAAATTGTTATGTTTAGCAAAAAGAAAAATTATAAGTCAATAAATTGTTGTATTATCAAAATTTAATGCTTACTAAAAAAATTGTTTTGTAAAACAATGTAATTAATACAAGCCTGAAATAATGAAAAATACATATTTATATATTGTATATTGATTATGTATAACTATTATCTATATATTAATTAAATTTTATTATATAATAATTGTAATTTTATGATTAAAAGAAAAATAAAAGTTATCACATAGCGAAAAAATGTTTATTTTGCAAACAGTTTAATTAATACAATGCTGAAATAATGCGAAATATATATTTGTAGTGTTGATGGATCACCGTGGGTTCCCAAGCATTTGCAGTGAATCGGTCGAGGTATTGAGTCCTACCTACTTGTCAACAATATTTCCTTCAATAAGTTAATTTCGAAAAGTTAATGTAGTTTTTTTCCTGCAATTTTATTTGATGGGTCTTGTCTTTATAATAATGTCTAAATTATGCCTTTATAATAATGTCTAAGTCTTTAGTTTGACCAAAAAATTGAATAAATTAATTTACTATTTACTTATTCTATTGATAAAATATTATTTATCATTATTATATTGTTTTTATTAAGAACTATTCCGAGTTTATGACATAAGCTTTGAGGCACTTAACCTTACAAATATTTACTGCATTTCTTTAATTAATTAATCATTATACTTAACAATGTTTTAAGTACGTTGAAGTAAATTTAATAATTTCAATAAACATTCAGCGTTCACATTATTACTGTATCTTGTTTATTATTATTTATAACAATTATTTAATATCTTTTTTCTTTAACAAACATGTAAAACCCATGAAAACCACACACTGATAACCCCAATTAGTTCATATTTATTACGGCGCTGCATGAGCGCTGCAGTCACGCTCGGAGCGAATATATTAATAAGTTGAAAAGTGTATAAGTTATTCTAGTAGATTAGATATGATATATATTTAAACCGGCAGTATGTTTGTTGATTTATATTTCGATTTAATTGTATATTTATTCCCAGTAAACACCGAGCGGCGGTAGCATGTGACATAGCTGAAGGCAAGCTTGTGGATTTTGCCGCTCAAATCACACGGTGTTTACTGGGTTATGTTTTATGTTTTATGTTTATTTATCTATGTCTAGTATATTTTTGTTATTATTGTATTATTATAAAACATAATACAATTGTAATACCAAATTTAGTTTCAAATACCCAAATAACTAAAAATCATTAATTTTCATTTCAAATTTTGCGCTATTCAAGAATTAGAAATATTTTTAATAGAATACAAAATAGATATAATGTTGATCTCAGAAACCCACTTTACAAATTTAAACTATTTCAAATTAAACAAATATAATTTTCACAATATTAATCATCCGGATGGAACAGCTCACGGTGGAACTGCTATAATAATAAGAAAAAACATCAAACATTACCAAAACAAATCTGTCAATTTTATACAAGCCACATCACTAACAATTCAACAACAAACTGAAAAAATTTTCGGAACACTTCAGAGAAAATTCATTGCGGGATGAGACTTTAATGCGAAGCATACCTTTTTGGGGATCTCGATTGGCAAATCCAAGAGGGAACAAACTTTATAAAACCGTCCAGTAACACGGGCTAACGACCCTGTCCACTGGCGAGCGCACATACTGGCCAAGTGATCTGCGCAAATTACCCGATCCATTGGATTTCTGCGTCTTGAAAGGTATAGCAAATGAACACATTCAGGCTAAATCTTATCTTGATCTAAGTTCTGACCACACACCAATAATAGTCACCTACAGTACAAAAATTTTAGAAGACAAGAAAAATGACTTTTTAACTAATAAGTATACAAACTGGGAATTATTCCGAAACATTATAGAGCAAAATCTTAACTGTAATATACCATTGAAAAACAAGCATGACCTGAAAAATGTTGTTGATAAATTTAGTGCAATTGTAATAGATGCAGCTAGAAAAAGTACCCTCCCACAAATCATAAAGAAAATCCATACCTGCTCCATAGACACCAAAGCTCTTATTGCAGAGAAAAGAAGGCTAAGAAAAATATGGCAGCTAATCTCCACAAGACAAAACGCAATTGAACAGAATGTATAAATTGATTAAATAACAGATAACAACGTTCAAAAACGACCAATTTCAAAACTTTTTATCCCATTTAACAGTATCAGATCATTCGAAAAACGGAAAGCCACAAAAAACTTAAAACGTCCTGCCATCACTATGCCTCCAATTAGAAAACCGGATAACACTTGGGCACGCAGTAATTTAGAAAAAGCAGAATATTTCTTGACTTACTTCAAGGAAGTTTTTACGCCAAATTCTTCAAAATCCTCGGAACAAAAAGAAAAATTTATTTTTGATTCTTTGAAAGAAGTTCAGTCAAATTTTTCATCAAACATCATAATCAAAGTTCCAGAAATTACAAATGAAATCCAAAGAGCAAAATCTGCAAAAGCACCTGGCGTTGACAACATTAATATTAACATACTTAAAGAACTTTCCTACAAAGCCTACCGTTTCATAACAATCCTGTTTAATGGTATAATAAGACCTAAATCATATCCCGATCAATGAAAAATGCTAAAATCATAATTATTCCGAAGCCTGGTAGAAATCCGAATAAAGTCCAAAGTTACAGACCAATTAGTTTACTTCCAACGTTATCCAAAATATTTGAGAAGGTCCTAATTAGTAAAATAAAACCCTTTATTTATGATAGCAACGTTATCCATGAGCATCAATTTGGATTTTTGAAAAAACATGGCACACCAGAGCAAATTCATAGAATTGTCGACAATATAAACAAGGCTTACCAAAACAAGAACTACTGTTCAGCTGTTTTCCTCGATATTAGTCAGGCATTTGATAAGGTGTGGCACTCCGGCCTACTTTACAAAATCAAAAATGCATTACCGTTTGATATATACCTAATCATAAAGTCCTACCTGAAAGGTAGAACATTCTTCGTTAGTGTAAGGGATGAAACATCCTCATTACATCCTGTCAGATCGGGAGTGCC